TAAACCGCTGTGTGCATGCCGTAGTGGTATTCTGCAAAGTGACCCACTCGCAAACACCACAGTCCCGCGATCCGAACAAAAATTGATCAGGTGATAACGCGAGCGCTAGACTAGAGTGTTTCGTGGGTGCTCCGGCAGCAGAGTTCTGTTGGATCACTGTTTTTACGGGAAACTGAATCACTCACTGCATCCAGAGCGAAAACTCCATTCAGTCAGTCATTCTGTCTAATCCTAGCACACGAACCGGAATGTATATCTCCTCCATAGGGAAGTGCTTTCAATGGTAAAAACACAAAAATTCTAATCAATTGTAGTTGAGACTTGATCGATCTAACTTTTATTGTTCCCCAGTCCGGCAGTATGCACACCGTTTCCATCGTTCTCTAGTTAGTAGGACCTCAAATCTTTCACCATTCCCGGTCCGGGAGCTTGGGTTACCGGTACCCATTCGTGATCAGTGAAACCTCGTGACTGTGGGGACTTATCCTGTTAGCTGTCCATCACATAACAGTTTACGGTTTTCAACTCTCTTCACAATATCACTTCGTACGTGCACAGCGGCGGCGATGGAGATTCTAACCTCTTATTCGTCACGAGTAGTCCACATGAATGTCATCGACACACATTGAAAGAACCTGCCATCCGTCAGAGCAGTTGGGAACCTTTGCTACCGCATCTGTATTTGATTCTCCAGTTTAATCCCTAAAGCTGATGTTTCAGTTTCACCTTATGTTTCCAGAACCACATACACACACGCAACATTCTGTTCCCATATTGAGTAACGCAGTTGCTGCACGTTTCATTGTTTTTTCTTCAATCATTCATTCTTGTCATTTGAATTCCCCTCACTCCATCCAGTTCGGAGACGGCTCTCGAACCTGCTGGCAGTACTGCGGATCGCGTCTCACGTGGATCTTTCTCATCCCAACGGGAATCGCTTATCATGTGCACATCCCAAGGCACTCTTCGATTGGTGGTTGTTTACGGATCCGAAATTGACTCCACGATGATCTCGAATGCAGTGTAAGCGACTTTCCCGCCGCCATTCGCCTGTCTGGTCGGTTCCCTGTTTTCCCCGATGCATTGGCCAAAATTGAGATTTCTTCTTTTCTCTTCTCACCCTGATTTTGTGTGGCACACGTTTTACCGTGTCTTGTTTCTCTTAAAATCTAGATATTGGCCTCTGTCACTGTCAGTCTCATAGTTCCAAAGCATTAGTGTACATTATTATTATTATTATTATTATTATTATTATTATTATTATTATTATATTTCACACACGTCGGACACCAGAATGTGTGTCAAACAAATCCTAGTACAGCAATCTCTATAAAAAAGAGATAGATCCTTGATTTGTTTGTAGGACGGGGTGGGGGTGGGGTTGTACCAGGTTGCCCAGGCCAAGGCAGGTGAATTTTCTTGAGATTCACAACTGGAGCCTTCGACTAGCCAAACCCTGACCCGCAAGGCAGCGGGGAGGGGGCGGTGTGTGAAAACCACAGTCCGTTGGAGGCCGTGGTTCTTTTGGACGGGGGCAAACGTCTAAGGTGCCCAATACACCTGCATGCCCAATCCAGCCGGTGACCACAACCAGAAAGGTGTGATTGTGGTTCATACATCTCTTGGTTGGTTTGGAATCAGGGTTTTTAGCCAACTCCTTTAGAACGGCTACCAGTGGTCCACCAACCCGGTTATATCATCAGATATAAGCTTTTTGTCTTCTCAGTTTGGTGCGAAAACACCTCCGCCACAAGAAGGCTTCTTCAGCAGAGGCTATTTGAGATGCTTGGTCTTATGGGGGCATTTCGCGAGGTGCAAGGAAGGGCTGACCGACCGCAACCTTAGTTTCAGTTACAGTTTGAACAACCATTCGTCATGCACTTTCGTGCAGCGATTTTGTTTGCTGTCTTTTGGCTACCCACCCCGACCATACTGAGGCTTTCGGAGGCATTGGTGTACAGTGCTGTGACGTGTGATCGAATCCGATGGATCATAGTTGTTCTGTTTTCTGCTGTCACAGCTTATGACTTTTTGGTTGAATGCTTCATTGCTTTTGTCCTCAATAGTCACCTAAATGTGAATCACCTTATTATCCCTTGGTCGTGGTTCTTCTTTCCTTCTGAAATCCAGTTCGCTTATTTTCGGTTTCCCTTCGCGTACATTTGTTTTTTTTTTGT